GGGGGGGGGGGGGGGGGGACGGTCCGGGTGGCTACCCGTGAGCTTTGCCACCGCACCTGCTGCACACCAGGCTGTTCTCCTGCGGGCACCGGGACCCCGGCAGCGACGGCCCTGGCAGAGCCGCCGCCGCGTCCCCGCCTCTCGGCATTGCCCCGGTGGCCCAGCGCTCGCCTCATAGCCCGCCCCCGCCTTGCATATGGCCCGACCCCCGAGTGTCTGTCCTGGCAGAGTCCGAGCGCATAGTGGGGGGATGACCCTGGGGACCCTTCCTGCACAGGGCCAAAGTTGGGGGGCAGTCCTGAGGATCCCGATTTAAGGCGCAAAGTGTGTTCATGAAAAAGGCAGAAAATAAACCAAAATATTGTCAACGCTTTTCTCTAGAAGTGGGGTGACTTTCTTTTCTTCCCTATACTCCTCCAATTGTTTTTTCCATTTTTAAACAATAAACGCGTAGTATACAAGAAAACGGTACTTAAATCAGTGGCATAGATGCCTGTATGCGTGAGGGTGAGTGGCTGGCGGGGGTGGGGGGGGGTGTGGAGCAGAGGGAGGTCCTCATCTCAGCAGGCACCCAAGCACTCCTTTGGGGGCATAGCCCTGACTCAGCTTCCTGTTGGGGGAGGGCTGCCAGAAGGTTCTGGGTGGGGCCTGTGTGTGACCTTCCTGAGGCGGGGGAGAAAATCCCATCATCTTCCCAGGGGTCCTCCTCCCCAACCCCAGCCTGGCACCCACCTGGAGGGGCTGGCCTCGCAGAGCTGTCCGGGCAGCGCTGGGGGGCTGGAGGCCTCTGCCTCTTCAGGGGCCTGGGATCTTGCTGAACTAGAACAGGTTGGGCCTATAGGACAGGACCTTGAGACCAAGGAGGGGTGGCCCCTGGCACAGGTGCACGGGGACCTGCTGAGCCGGCTCTCCCAGTCCTGCAGTCCCACGACCGACCGTTATTGTTGGCTGGGGGCTACTGCCGCCGCCCCGTGCCTCGAGGGTACAGGGCAGGAGGGCAGGTTCTGGCTGAACCCGGCAGGACTAAGCGCTCTGGACCTCCAGCCAAGTGCCCAGCTCTGCTCAGGCGCCTGCCACCCCGTGGGCCCTTGTGATCACCAAGGAGGGCTGGTTACATCCCCTCAGACTGCCCAGGCAGGGCAAAGAAGGCCTTCAGGAAACCTCGTCCCCCCCCCCCCCCC